ATTATTTTAGGAACTCCTGAAACATTTAGTATAGAGTGGAGCGTACATTTACATCGAGTTTCAACAAACGGAACAATCAAAGGTATTTAAAACACGAGTGGGAGGGGCGTTTCACTTCAATTCCCTTTGCCTCTTTTCCTTTAGAGGGAAACGTGCGTAGCTGGTAGCTTGGACAAAACTTGTTGGGGGAGTAAAAACAAAACCTCTACGATGGATGCCGCTGTTATAAGAACAACGAACTTTCTTTAAAATCGAACCAAGAAAAACATCCTGCTACGTTTTCCAATGATCTCATTTTTTTCTGAGATATTCTTAATTACTTTAATATTCTTTTTGCTGGGTTACGTTTTTTCATCACTTTCATTCTCTCTGGTGATCTGATAATCAATATTAAGCCTCAAGGATCTATCGTTTCATTTTTGTTCGAAATTTCTGCAGGTCGTCTGTCTGTTGAAGGGTTGCACTCCAGGAGGCGAGATCCAAGATAAAAGGCAGCCATTCAGTAAAGCTGTACATCGCGAATTTGTATGTTTATCACTCAATATCAAATATGACTATGATGACTAGACGGACTATCCCCATGACGTTGTAAAGCAGGTCCTGTACGAGAAGAGCGGGGACAGACGGCTCCCTTTCCCTACAGGTGGTTCGGCGCCAGTAAGACTGAGAATGAAAGGGTTGTATCATATTCATGGAGGAACGCTGTAAGATATACAGACTTTTTACGCTTTTTATCAAACATCAGGAAACACATATGAACCGGATAAACAACACAAATGAGCGATATTGCTTTAACTGAATGAGAAACACCACAGATTCACTTTTAGTGCTCTGTAGGTTTCCCTCACTTGGAGTCACGAAGAAATCGCAGTTGTTTTACGACATCATTATAACCTAAGAAAAATGTTGTCAGACTGTTGTTTCGATGGAAATTAATTTTACTTACCTAATTGAAATAGTGTATCATGCTCCACGAATTGCCCAAACTGTACGGCATGAGCTGATGTCATCTTTAGCGCGTAGTTATCAATTCATTAAAAATCTAGCGACGAGAAAGAAGCATTTTAGTTATGAAAGACCGACCACCCTCGAGAAGTACTGCACAAGTAATAGCAAGAAAATGGGAATTTAAGAAAGTGACTAGGAGACTCGAGAAAGTGTGGATAACATCTTCCAATGGCACGTTGGTCTTCGTTATCAGGGTTTAGGTCAAATCGTAGTGTTCTTTCGATAGACCACAAATAACTGCATAAGATGTACAAGGTAAACGTTAAAGACCGCTTGCAAGCGGGTACGCGAGGTGGTCTTGCGTCGACATTAGTAAGTGATATTGTCTGTACTAACAATAACAATAACCACCCCACTACTTACTTTGTTCAAGAAGCTAAGACCTGACTATATGCTCATTTACTTGGCCGACTTCTGTAGTACTTTAAAAATATTGTGTAAAAGTACAGCTTAAAACTGGACGGCATTATGCTAAAATATGTGAATAAGTGCAAAGAGAATAAATATTTAACTGACATGTTCAAAACAAGTCTTGTCTATGACAATTGAATAACTCTCGTTTTTGTTGTGCTGTGCGCATTAACGTGTAGAGTGCAAATTGTTTAAGAGGGGCCGTACAAGCTATTCAGCACTGACCGTTATTTTATAATCGGGGGGAGGGGAGGGAGAGGGTTGGTGGAGGATTTTGGTTCTGTCATGACCATAACCCCACTCCTCCCCCCCCTTCCTTGCCTTATTGGCCGTCAATTTTCTATTTTCTCTCTTTTATACTGTGTTGGCGACGAATGATAACCCCTGTTGAAGTCCTAAATGTAATAACTGTCCTAAAAGTAATAAAGCCCTAAATGTAATAACATTTGGTCTTAAATGTAATAAGCCTTCAATGCAATCGTTTAACTGCGCTAGTGCACTGTTGTTATGGCAGACATCCACATTGAGATGTTAGAGTGACAGCTGTTGCACCAAAAATCCTCTGACCAATATTCATGGCACATTGCGGGCTCGCTGATATTAATCAGCGTCTTTTTATTTTCTAAAGACGTAGGTTGAGAAGCATTGGCTACAAAACCTTATACTGATGTGCTTTTAGCATCAAATTGACAGACGCAAAAACAATGAGAACGCTGACCAATAGCTCTCTTTATATCATTGGCTCAGACTCTTAAGAGAAACAGATTTAGACGATATACTTGTGTGATCAGCGCTGACGTTAACACTGGCGTTAACACTTCATGAACCGAATTACAAGAAAAAGGAAATCTACTGACCTATACGTCTGACAAATTCCGGGCTCGGAAGTGCATTTTTTGTTCTGTCTTCCTTTGCCAGATTTGTATGGGTCTGCATGAAATATATTCATATGCGTTATTGGCCAAGCGTTCGGTCAAAATGGCTGGATATTGGCCGAGTTTTCTTTTTTGTTTTTTTTACGTTTTTAGGAATGGAGACGAAGTCTCGGTCCAAATAAAAGTAGAAAAAGAACGAGGCTAAT